GTTGTCATTGCTGTTACCGTTACTGTCAACAACACTACCAGACGCTACGTTTGTTAAACACTGATGCACCATCAAGCAACCATATCAGTATAGTATTGTTTACTACTTTATAAAAATCCCCAATTCTGCAAGACGAAACTTTGGCCCATACATTACCTATTGCAACCGCATCTTGTTTGTGGGCATATGGTAGTTCCAAGGTTAGTAATCGATCAGCCAGGAAAACCAGTAGATAGCGAAGATCAATCATCACTATCGGGACACAGAACGCCCAATACGAATCGGTGATTAAAGGGAACAAATACCTTTGAAGAACTCACTCGAATAGATAGCACATCCTCCACTTCTGTCACTTGCGATTCACTTAGTTTGTGATCGGACTTTTCACTCAATGAACTGTAGATGAGCTGACCGCACCTCTAAATCACTAAGCAATAAAGCATAAAATGCACGAATTATTTAACAACGATGGCAAAAACTTCTCAAATAAAGGAGCTAAGTAGTTACTGTGCGTATGAGTTCGGTTGAACTTTTGTTTACGAATTTGACCGTAGAAAGCACCGTAAGTAGGTTGTGAAATGGAAATACTCTGTTAACTTGCATGACAAATTTGTCAATACTTGGTAACAACTTTCAATGGTGACTTCCTCTGATATATTTCCAAACCAAAAAAGGGGATACCAACATAGAGGTTCGATGATGCTAGGGTAAGTTATAAAATTTCCTTGATGGGGAATTCCTTCCGCTAACAAATCTTGTTCTCATTCAATACGGATCATGACAGCAGTCTAACGACAATCCCAGAAAACTAGATAACGCTGCGCACAGGTGATTAATCGGTATGTTGGCTGCGAACGACTGTTTACACCACAAGAGTAGGAAAAGCCATTAACAACGATCGCTCGATAATGCTTGATATATACATCAATGCGAATTGGAGCCGTATATTCCAAGAGACAGAATTGATGGACAACTATTTCTCATAGAAACAATATGAAACCAGAAAAAATTGTAATCAACCTGAATTTGGACAGGGTACGCAAAAATAAAGGAAATTAAAAAGAACGAAAATCGAAAACCCACATTTGGATGCATTATTCGCAGCTTGAGATTCCCATTTGGAACATTGAAATAGACATCTTCTTGAACGAAGAACGTTCCAAGTGATTCGGTAAGATCGAAAATGGCATTCTCCGCTTTTTCCATATCATCGACACGAGCTTTCACGACAATTGATTGACGCATACTAAATATGACAATTGAAAACTTGCTAAAGGAAAACGAGCAGGTTTTAATATACTTACAGAACGTTCCATCAAAAACAATGAAAAGAATAGCGTTGCAAGTTCTAGAGATAGTACGGGAGCCTTTTAATAGTGTAGAAAACCTCCATTTTTTTCTACTCTATACCCTCTCCGCAGTATTAGGTTGGCGACTAGGCAATTGCGTATATTTAGACCCTTTTTGAAAAAAGGA